TATACATATATATATATATATTTTTAACATGGGGTTATAGGAGATTGGAGAGTTTTTCAAATGATGGGCAGTAAACTCCCTACCAATTTTAATCAAAATGCTTAATGTTTGAAGATCAACTATTGAACCAAAAATTTGACTTTTTTTTTTTATTAATCTTTTGATATTTAAAAATTATATTAGATATTCACTAATTCAGAATTGAGTTGAGTTGAATCACATATAAACTAAAATTTTTTCAATATTTATTTTTTTATTTACAATATTTATTTTTTTATTTACAATATTTAAACTCAAAATATTAATTAAAAAATTAATTTTTTTTACTAAAATCAAAAAATAATTAATAAAATTTAATTCATATTTATATATATAACGGAGACAAAAGAAAAATAAATCGGGGATAAGGGGCAAACAGATGGAAACCCGACAGGGCGGGTCGGGGATGGAGTGTGACTGTGGAGTGTGGACGGTGGGTGGGGGGTGGGATGATCACTTTGGGAACAAAAGGAGTCCAGCTCATTTGAGTCCCCCCCACCCCACCCCATTCTTCCAAAAACGTCACATCGGACCATCTCTTACAAAAACTCCAAAACGTCAAACAAAATATCTAATCACCGTTCAATCTTACATCTGTTCATTGTTGACCATTTCACAGTTCCAAACCCATCAAGATCAAAAAGACAACGGGGGGACTCTTCAATTTTCCATCCCCCCCCTTCCTCCCCACCCTCTCCATCGGGATTTGCGTTATTCCCTTCTCCCCTTGGGAATGTCATATCTGAATCTGATTCAATATAGAGTTTAACAAATCTGCTCTACTAGTGTTACACCCTATCATTCCCAGCCATGCATGCCGGTGTGGTTATCATTAATTAGGCCTTTTCTTTTTTTTTTTTCTTTTTTCCAGCATTCTAGCATCCATTTTTCTCCTTACATGTGATACTTGATGCTTTGAATGCTGTAAACCTTATGATTATCTGTCTTAACAAAATGCTTGAGTTAATCTCAACTGGTTAGACTGTTGTAATATGTCAAACTTTGACTACCATTTTGGTTTAACTTATATATATGGTTGTTGAAAATTATAGTTATTTTGTTTCCACTGAACTTTATACTTTGTACTTTGTTCATCTATATTTTTGACTTATCAGCACCAATTCTTGTTTGCAGCACTCCATATGGCTGCAGCTAATAGACATCTTGGGATAGTGGAGTATCTGATTGCTAAAGGAGTGGTGAGGAAACCATGTCAATGTTATGAGTTTCTTTCTGTGGTTCACCGACAATATCTTTGAGCTAATATTTAATAATGTTGGGGTTAGCTGACATGTTGTCTGGACTATGGATTCCAAAACACATATAATTATAAAGACAAATGAGGTAGGAATGTTCCTTTGCGGTGGTATAATAATAATTATTTCTTAACTAATTCAATAAAAAAAATTAAAAGTACATCAAGATCATAAAGCCTTACATGAGCAAATTACAAAAAAAATGTACTGGCTTGGCTTTAGATCTTGCTGATCTAGATGTTGTATTCATCTTTTCACTCCTCTTCTCCAACTCAAGGGAACAAATGTAACAGTCAAATTACATGGAAAGCTTAAATTGTGACAAAATGAGGTAGGCCAGAAGTCAAACTTCAAAGAAAAAAGAGGGAAAAATTAGATACTTAGCATCCTACTGGCTAATAAATATGTAGAGTCAACAAGATTCTATGCTATCTGTGAACTGTTAATTTATAAGCTCATGAGTGGATGCATTAGGGTAGGGTTTCTCTCTTAACTGTCAAAGGGGATGGGTTCTAGGGCAAGGTGGAGTTGGTGGACAACTAAAAGTAAAGCAAATTTGCTTCTTCTTTTTTTCTCTCTCTCTTTTTTTCCTTCTATTTTATGGTTTTTTTTTTTTTTTTTCTCAATTTCTTTTGATGAAAACCTTGTTCTTAATGCTTCAAATGAGGAGAAGAGTAATCCTTTGCATTGGGCATGCCTTAATGGCCATCTTGAGGTAATCATTCCCAGCTCCTTTGTATGGCAGCAGTTGTGATGTTATTCAATTATGATGTTCACTGAATTTTGATGAAAGGTGGTTAAGAAATTGGTTTTAGTTTTAGCAGGAGCAAATGGAAGCACCCCAAATAGGTTAGTTGTTTTTGGCATGAATAAAAGTCCAGAGTTTGGTGAACTTTATATGAATCTATGATCCTTTCTATTTTGCTCTGTGACTAATTGTGTGGTATTGGAATAGCCATGAGTGGACTCCTATTGATAAGGCTCTGAGTAGGGAAAAGACGGTAGTTATGGATGCCATTAACGCAGCAATGACAGAATTGGAGCTTGCTGGTGCCAGTGTTTCCTAATGTTGGAACTTAATGATTGAAGTCACGGTTCTATAGTTTAATAAAAGTATCTATCCCTTTCTGCTAAAGACATGTTAAGCTTTTAACATAGCTATCTTCTCCCTGGTTCTTGTAGCTGGAACAAAGCTTAGCAGAACTTAAGATGCTCTTTAACTTTGGGAAAAACAAAAAATTCTTGGCTTATCAGTTTGATGTGATATAAAGTATAAAGAACACTTAACAGTGCAGGTAGCCTTTTTTCATGGAAATTTATCAGTCTAAATTTTGACATGCTATCATTCTGCAAGAGCATCCAACTTAATGCTTGGCATAGAACCAAGCGAAGGGATGCCAATGAAGGAATAAAGGGAAGGAAAAATAAGATCCTTTATTTTCTCACCCTTTTCTAGATTCACTGACAAAATAATCCATCATTCATAGCTCTCTACATAACATTGGTTCCTTACCCTTTGGTTTAGTGATTGGAAATGGGGGATTGAGGCATCAGAAACCCCATTTATGATAATATAATATTATTTATCCGTTAAGCAGCTAGCTTGTGGATTATATATATTTGTCTGAACAAGAGCTTGTGGATTATATATGGTAAAGATTGTCACCATAGTTGCCTAGAAAGGCACCAATTCTATGCATTTTAAATACCATAAATAATTTCAAGGATCAACAGTGTTGTTCTCATGGAATTTGAGAGAACTATAGTTTTTCCTGCCCCCCTTTGGTGGGATAATAATTTAATGGTAAATGATGCATTCTTTGATTTGCATATATGATATTATAAATCTGTGTGTACTGAAATTGAGAACATAACATAATAGCAGCATCATAGCATCCAAAAAGAGACACTTAAAATATTCTCTACAAAAATATATATTTAAAGAAAAAAAAGCCATGAAATTGCAAACCAACCTAACTTCTGAGTTCTTAGGGCAACCAATTTCAGTTCTCATCATTCAAACCTTTTTGGCATTTGGGTTGTCCCCTATATCCCTTCCAACTATGATGAGTTTGTACCACATTTTCGTGGAACCAAGCGATGTTTTTGAGTTTGAGGTTCATATTCATTCTTACAAATTCTTAGATTGAATTGATTGGATTGTCGGCTTCCTAGCAAAATCACTTTTATCTTAATTATCATTTGTGCAACAAAATCTTGATATGAGGTTTTTTTTTTTTTGAACAATTTGTCAAAGTATGAACTAGAAACCCGTCCAAAGAAAAAGGGAATGCACCCCAAGTTAGAAAGATGTCGGTTGGTCCTTTGGACCAGGTGCTTTATATGAGATTCTTAATTGCATTAATCTCCATAAATCTAATTGTTAAATCACATTTATTTTATGTTTCTGTTCAAGTTTTATTTCTTATGCTCACCCTACAGCATTGAGAAAATGCAGTTTTATACAGCCATACATATTTCACTTGATCTTCAAGTTTAATCTACTCTTGTGGAATCAATACACTCATCCACCCAGGCCCTAAAATTGAGTTAAAAACCAAGAAGAATAAGTATTTGTTTAGTAAGTGAGAAAGAACAAATATGCAAATAAGAAATTAGAAATGGCAAGGAAAACTCAAAACCACTTACTAAAAAAGAAAGTAAAAGTATTTTGTTCAAATATTTACTGTTTTCCAATTTAAATTATACCAGATTAAAAAACAAGTCATTAGATAAAAAGAGAACCCCAATATTAAAAAACAAAATCTCATCTCTCATTCAGGTGTCTATGTGTCTATATTTTACAATTTGATATATTTCATATATTTCAGACTCAAAAAAAAAAAAAAAACACCACTTTTTCCTTTGTTTAATTCCCTCAGGAAAAGTATAAATAAAGCAGGTGATTGCCATCAAATCCAGATCAACCCATTGTCCTGTACAACAATTGCCATATCTCAATAGAGAGGAAAAAACCATTTGAGGAAACTGTCACATTGGAAAATGAGAGGCTTTTGTTTTGTAAATTTATGACATGAAATGAAATTGAGAGGGGTTTGTCTTGTCACCCCCTCGTTTCGCCATGAAACAGATCAAAAATCAAAGGCTGCTTTAAACACCACCGATTGAGCACCACTTACAAGAAGAATCGCCAGCTTATTCTTCTGTATAAAGTTAAAAATGGCAGCTGCTGTCCTTTCCATTGACACAGTTTCATAACCAGCTTCTCTACTCTACTAGTATAATATGGATCACAAAGTTGGTCAAAGTCGAATCTTTTTTGTTTTATATTTTAAGCATGCTTTTGATTCTCAATAAGAGTGTTTTTGTACATAAACCTGGCTGCCATATAGAATACGTTTATTAAATTATATATTAAAAAAATAAAAATAAAAAAACCCTCAATTGAAACTGTTTACTTCTAAAAAGCTACAACCAGGACCATAGGTACTCCTATTGAGAGAGATAAAGGGAGCTATGATTCATTTACATAATAATTCCACATGATTTGCTAGTGTTATGAACTAAAAAGCCAAATAGCTATCACAGTAACCACATACAGAAACACATCATCAAAACTATAATTCTGCAGTGGCAGACTTTAGACATCTTCAAATCACCTATAGGAACCATCAAAACCCTAATTACAGGAGCACTTTTGAGTTTTAACTAGTAGTACCACCACCCACATACAATATGCATCAAAGTTAATCAAGACAAGAGTGTTCATTACAGATTTAAAGTAGAATTTGTACTAAAACGATCAAACTAGAAGTACCATCCATCAATAATTGAGAAACAAATTACATTTGCTTTCACATAAGCTTTTCATGCACACAACACAAACAGACAAAACAATTAGAGCAAGAGACTGACACTCAATGGTACAAAAACTAGGGTTCAATTGAGCATTGTCTTCCAGAAAAGACTGAAAACAATGAATTATGATTTATATTCACCAAGTAATGCAATAATGCATTTTTATTTCCTTTTCCTGTTTACTGAATACCTCCATTCTTTTTATGGCTGGACAGACCAACTTCAATCATGCCTGACAAGAAGAAGCATATGACAAGCATGTCTTGGGTACGATGAACGGAGATAAATGCCTTAAATAAATAAAGAAACCCTTATGCAATAAGAAATGTGGAGCATGGGTGGATATGTCAAGTTGTCTTAGATATAGCAAACAATAATGAGGCAGCCTCTCCTTGCTACCACTTGGTTTAGAAACTCAGCACACAGCATTTCAGAATTAATTAATATATATATAGCATAAAATATTAGCAAGATAGATACAAAGAATGATATAAAGCAATCCACATGATGAAATCCTCATATAACATGCAAATGAGCAGAAAGTAAAGAGCAAGCAAACATTCAATACATGCATCATCTTATTTTAATCCAAATTAGTAAGTTATACACACGATAATACAATAGCACCACAGCAAAAAAATTATGTTTTGAGGCTAAGTATATTTTTCTAAAAACCATCATCCAACTAATTACAAGTAATTCAAAATAAAATCGTATTCAATAAATATATCAATAAAATGAAATATAGAAATTCAATCCAATGCAAATTTCTGAATCATCAGCATGATAAAGGAAACAACAAACAAGTACCAATATAGTAAAAATGTAAAGGAGGCCTCATTTGCAAATTCAATTTATAATGTAAACTGCATCACTAATTACAAAATCAATGTCTCAAGGGTATATGCAGAATTCAGTATTAATGTTTCAGTAAAATGTGTGCTGTGAAAATTGGCAAGATTAAAACAAAGCACCATATAACGACTGAATTTTGGTGGGGAGAATTTTCCTATAGTAGGATAACACAAGAATCTATGTTACATGATGCATTCATGAAAGCTTGAAATTGCAAGATAGATCCAATCGTAGAAATGCTATGGGGACAAAGTGGGCCAACAAGGACATTCATGTAATATACTATTTCTTCATTAGCAATACATGATGGTGACATAACAACTACTTCTCATGCCAAAGTCTAAAGCAGCACGACAATGAAGAATTCCCCATTTACTTCTGGTTCATCATCAACCAAATTACCCCAGCAGAAACAAGAACCGCTGTGACATTATGTTAGACCCCAACCATGAAAAAATATGATTGGAAATTTAGAATGGGACAGTTTTCTAATGAGGAACTAATCTAGCATGAGGAATATGGATTATTTGGGTGGGGAGCATAGATAAGGATCATGAAAAACACTTTACACTGTATATTTCAACTTTTTTTTCCCAACAGAACTCCTATTGAACAAAAGGAATGAGAAAAAGGAAAGGCAACAACTTCAAGAAAGCAAATAGACTATATCATGACATTCATTCATATTTATCTATTAGTACAAGATTTTTCTCCCTATCTTTATTTCTCTATGATTTCTAATTTGGTACAGAAGATGTCCTAACTAACAGTAAGTGAAATGTAGTTTGGGTTGAGAAAATGATAATCATGACTAGATAAGCGCAATTTCAAGAACTAACCAAAAAATGAAACAAGAAAATCAAATGATAACAAATATGTTAATAACGATACAATTAATGTCTACAGGAAGAATTATGAAAAAGCTTCATTTAATTAAAAAAAAAAAAAAGAGAAAAGAAAAAGAAGAAGAATTTACCACAGCTCTACGCATAATTAGCAGGCAGAATATGAATTAGATTGCAATTCATCTTCCCAAGTTGTTCCTCTCACTACCTTAAACTTGGAAAGATAAGCTCAGTTTATTGGATTACCATAAGTTGAACCGCCAAGTAAGCCACCACCAGCGGCTGCATAAACTTCAGATGGATCAAGAACTGGGGACGATGCCGAGCCCCCATTTCTACCATTACCACCTCCACCACCATGACTACCACCACCTAAATGCAATTCAGATAGATTAGGAAACCCCTCTCTAGCTTCGACTCCTTGGTCATGTAGGATGCCTTTGAACACATGACCGCCAATCCTAACAACTGCTTGGTATGCGTACTCATCCTCACCATCCTCCAGTGCTGTGACACGGACACACTTGAATACTGCCGGTGCACGTATTTGCCCCGGCAACCCATCCTTAAAACCTGCATCTGCACCAAAAATTCAACAAAAACCTACTCAAATTCAAGCCAAAACAATAACCCTAGACATTTTTCTTGTATCACAAGAAAATCGAACAAATTATGCAAAAAAAGAAAGAACCTTGGTGACTCGAGCTAGTGTCGAAGCTTCTCGGTGGAGTTGTGTTAGAAGTGGAGGTGTGAGATGTTGTGGTCTGCGAGGTTATGAGTCTAGGTTTCTTGACACCGGAGGTCGATCCAGAAGACAAGGCACCCGGCCCACCAGCTCCAACCGCCATTAACTGACGCTCCCTCCTCCTGGCCGCCGGTACCCACGTGCTCTTAACGTGAGTAGCGCAATCGAAACCGCGACTCTTGCAGCAAGTTCTGCACCTTCTGTGGCTGCAATCTTTTTTGGCCTGGTTACCGCAGTCTTGACACGTCGCTCCCGAACTGGAACCCGAGCCGCCGCTGCCCATCCCGCCACTACCGCTACCACCACTGTGTACCAAATTCATGGAAGGAGTGGTGTTGTCGGGGACGGAAGTTGGCTTCTTCAAATAATGAGACGAATTCTGACTCTGCCACAACTGCATCCCACTCAGTTTGTTTCTACTGTTATTCAACAAATCCGAATCCTCCATATTTTGTGGAGGAAGGCACGGCGCCGCGGTAAGAAGAGGGATGACACCAACGCCTACACCGACGCCCAGCGCGGTAGCAGCATTTGGACCGCCGATTTGATCGTTGGACATGATGTGTTCGTGCTGATGGTGATGGTGGTGATTAAAAGACGAAGCCGGAGCTACCACAAAGACGTCGCGAAGACCCACCATGCCCATCTCGGGGGCGAGACCATAGTTGATGGGTCTGGCGGAAGGAGGCCAGGGGGCGGAGGAGGGTCCGGTGGGGGCAGAGGCAGGACCAGCATTGAATCCAAGAGAGAGGTCATCAGGGCCAGCCCGGATTGCCGTGGAGGAGGAGGTCGCCGCCCAGTCTGCAAAGGCTCCCGAATCCGATGTCAGTTGCCTTCTTGTGGTAGCCACAACTGCAATATTATGATAATTATTATTGTAAAACTGAAAAGAAGATAACTTTGGTTAGGGCAATAACTTGTTGGTGACAGTAGCAGCAGAAGATGGAGAGAGCAAAATCTTGAAGATTATAACTTTGTGGGGTCAAATGGTAGCAGAAGGATTTGTTCTAGAGAGGAAAAAAGGGAAGAGATCTAAGTTTGTTGGGGTGGCAGTAGTTTCTGCATCTCTTGGTTCTGTTGCTGTTGCTGCTGCTGCTGCTGCTACTACTACTGTTACTTTGGCTTTTTTTTGGGAAAAATAAAGTTGGGGTTGAGAGGGAGAGATGACTGAGTTTCTCTGAGCTAACAAGATAATAAGGACCCCTTTCTCTTTCCTTCTGTTGTAATTTTCTGCTCAGCTTTCTCCTCTTCCTTCCTTCTGTAATCTTTCTCTCTCAAAAACACTACTTGGTATGGGACATGGCTTCTTAGAAAGAGAAGCTAATCGAGGAGGGGGAGATGGGTTTGAGTTGAGTTGGGTTTTTTCTTATTCTCTCTCCAATAATCACACTAACTATGGGAAGAGCTAGCCTTAGAGGTGTAAAAAGACTTTTGCTTCTCTTTGTTTTTGTAATTTTCGGGGTTTTAAAAGTTCTAAAAGAGTCACATGACACTCTCTATCATTAACATTTTTCCACTGGCCCCCTTCCATGGTGGCGCGTGTCTTCAGTCTCTTCAAAAAGAGTGGAGTTTGTTTGGACATAAACGTAGGACCAATCTTCCAAGCATTTAACCCAACATCAGCTATTTATTGAACTTATATATGGTAACATTAATTAAATAAACACAGAGTCGAAATTCATTACTCCTCTATATGCTCAATATCCAATCTGTTCACCGTGTTTCGGACTGGGTCAAAAAAAAAAAAAAAAGTTTCTTGTTTTTGTTTTTGGGTCATGCAAATTAAACTAAATAAATGTGTCATGTATATATATATATATGCACCATTAATCAAAAACAGAAATTTTGTCGACCCATGTACTAATTGTGAAGAAACCGTGTGGATTGGGTTTGATTATGAGGGAAAACAAAGGTTAATACTTTAATTAGGGCACGTGAAGGATGAGAAAGAAAAAGCACATCAACCCTCCCCCACCACCCCTTTCTCATGGGGCCACGAATCTTCACACAAGTCATCTCCAACTCCTACTCAACTCAGTCATTTCCTTAGCCAACTCTTCACCCCTAATTCCCTTCCATTTTTTCTAAAGACCACTCCTTCTAAGCGTGTGTTAAAGTCTCTCACTCTCTCTTTTACTTTTTCAAAGGCAATAGCATGCTCATTTCTCTCTCTTTCAAAGTGTTGATAGATTTGGAAAGCACTTATCTTTTTCCACTGGGTACTTAGAACCGGTGTTTGGCAAGTAAAAAGAGCTGAAGCTATGCACTGCTCTAGCTATAGGCTAAGTAGTTGCCCTTTACAACAAATTATTATTGCACCCATAAGGAATCGTTTTCATAAGTTGCTTTTTGGGTAGAAAAAGAAAAGGGAGTCACTTAAATGCTGTTGATTCTGGTTCCCAGAGATCATTTGTATTAAGTAGCATATATATATATATATACGTACACTGTTTTCTAGTATAATTATGGAGGAGATTTCATGTACGTACGTATTTGATGCTTTGGCATATCACTTCTTTTTCTCTGTGATTCCATGTAATTGAGATGTTCGATTTCTCTTACCTAATTAAGAATTGAGAGCTGAGGAAGCAAACACAAATACCAGTAGCTCCTACCTCCGTTCTTCTCTATACTTAATGCCTACGTATCTACACTAGCTAGCTAGGGTTAGTTAGGTAGGGTACTTTTAATTAATTGCTGAAGAAAAAAAGGCCCTGTAATAATTATCTACTTTGAATTAGCAGAAAAAAGTTTGTCTATTTTTTATGAGTATTTTAATATTAAGCACACAGATCACAATAGTTGTCATTATAATTTGTGTGGATAGAGAAAAAAAAAAAAGATTATGTGACGAAGTCAGTAAAATCTATCACTAAAAACATCTTTATTTCTTCACTTAGGATCGTTTAATTAGTTTAAGCTAATTAAGAGATAAATTAGAGAGAAAGAAATATCGATCTTAATTTTGATAATATTACGTGTTTAAATTAAGAGGTTTATTCAGCCAGTTTCATGACTTGCATATATTTTATTATTGTTTTTTAATAAATTTATAAAAGATTGGATTTGAATCATTGTCATAATAAATATTATATTTATATGTGATTTGATGTCATTGTGTTAAAAAATCAAATACTGCAAATATTTCACTAATTAATTTTAAAAGATTATTGCAAATAATATGGGCCCCGATAAGATTATACAAAATTTCTTTTTATATAGAGGATAATATTGGCAGGTCGCCATCTTAACTTATAATTAATATTTTTAAAAATTAATTATTAAATTAAAAAATTTATTCATAAATCATGCATTTTTTTATCAACAAAATAAAATTATATCACATAAAATATAAGAGGTATTTCTTCTCATAAATACACAAAGTACAAAGCACTCACAACACTAATCCTCCAAGCATACAATTAATCATAGATTTATATGTTCATTTTTATATAAATATAACAATTATAATTATTGAATAAAAAATTTTATTTATTGATATATATTTAATAATATTAAA